GACGGGGTCCTCACAGCCTTTCAGGGCGGACACAAGACTGCGGGAGCCGGGAATGTTTCTAATTTTGCCCCGCTTCGTTTTGCCTGGTCGCAAAATGACGCGACCGTTCTCGTCCACTTCCATGCAATATCGGGGACAGCCGTGAGTGGTGGAGAAAAAGTGTTTGAGGCGGCGGCTCTGATCTAGTAATTTCTGTGGAGGCATTCCCTGGACTTCCATGATGCAGGCTAATTGGTCTAGCTCGTCTTCTCCCGGAAACAGTGGCGAACCTGAGAAAATATAATGCAGAGGAGATTGTAAATCTGATGAAATTCGAAGGTCAAATTTGAATGGAGGATTTAGCACACATTGGCGGTTTTGGATTTTGTTCATTAGTGTAAAAAAAGAGGTACGTTTACGATTGTACCTGACAATTCCATTTAAATTTATTAGTCACTGTCCGGCATGTCCGCACGTGATCTTACGAAATATCTTACTCTTCTGACCTCTCAATCAATAAAACCAATCAAAAGTTTGGTTGCCTTGGTTCAACGTAACTCAAGCAATGTATAAACGGAAGAAACACCTAGCAATTTTCATTAAACTGTTTTGGAATACATACTCGAACTTTGGGCTGTTCGGTAACAACCATACATTACATTGCACACTGACGACTCATGATCGCCAAACGAATGTTTGTTTGTTAAATATGCTGATGATATGGTTGTTGGCCATCCTCTCAAAAGTCAGTCACATCTCCAAGTACTGAAGGATGGCCTGGACTACATCCCAGCATGGTCGTCAGCAAATGGCCTTCTACTTACTGAGCGGAAGTCAGTCCAGTGTTTTGCATGAACTGTTTTACTCCACATTTAAAACTTAAGTTTACCTAGTACACCCGATGTTCACCTTTTCGGAATTTTCTAATCAGTTAAAAAAGCCGTTATTTCTGAACAACGTAATATTACATGATAAATCGCAATATGCCCTAGTTTGAAGAGCGATCATTACTTTATTGCTGTAAGAGTTTGGGGCCGCAGCTTGGGCTACTTTGCGTAACAGGGAGTTTTTTGTAAACACCATTGGATTTCATGAGTTAGCCCATTTACTCTATAAAAATGTTTAAGTCATTTAGATTGCGTTGGGCCGGACCCACCGAATGTCAGTAAATAGTGGAACTGAGCAAGTAAAGGTTTCCCTCTTTTTCGTTATTTTATATGCGCGTTCTGTATTCAAAGTATACAAGAACTCGGATAACAGGTTACCACCCTTAGCCGAGAAAACATGCATAAAAGGAGAAAATTGTATTATGCTTTTCGAGCTACATAACCGAGGGAGAAACCTGTGAGAAGTAAGCCAATTAAAATTCCCTTGAGCTTTTTTTCTTACAAAAGGACATGGGTGCATTTCAATAAAAGGCAAGGATGTACTTTGGATAGAGTATGACCGACTGATGACCTCTAATAATCCGGTAATGGCCATTCCTTTCTCCCTTGTCTTCTTCGGTTCCATTTAAACATACTTCACAAGTTGCTATGTGACTGCTTGCGCGGGCTCTATAGTGAGCTCAAGGGCACCAAGGCACATTCTTGTTCCTTAACCAGCTCGCTGAGTTCATTTCTACCATAATTCAATATGTCGGTGAAATGCTCGAGTCACTTTTGTGTCAATAAGAAGCAGCAACCACCGAGTCAATCATCAGACCTCAGTGACTAATATGTGTGACCTATGCTGAGTGCAGCTTTGAGGGTAAGACTGCTGTCTTTTAAACCCACTCAAGTAGTTACATAATTATGCACAGAGTTGGAAGTTCATAACCATCATCAGCGAAAGCCTAGTCAAAACAGGCTTAACCGCAAGGTATTCTAATATGCGTGCCCTGTGCACTAAGATGTTCTTCTGTGAAAACAGTCAGTAACCATTAATTGGAGCTATACTCAATTCAATCTAGTTTTAAATGACGAGCATTACATTTTCGGTAACGATAAATTTGGTCTGCCGCCTCAAATAACCCTGGTCCCAGTCTTCTGTCTTATAGGACTGGTGTATTAGTTTGCATAGTTATTTTTTAGTTTTTTATTTATTTTACTAACCCAATTTTAGATTTACTATGGTTTAGTTTTAGTTTAGTTAGTTTTGTCCAGTTGAGCTTATCTTAGTTTAGTATATAGTAGTTATGTAAGCAAATGTATCCAACCTTTGTGATATCTAACTTAACTAAAAATAAAACTAAAATAAAAGTAATAAACCAGCTAAAAAACTAAAAACCAAACTAAACCCAAGGTAAAACTAGTAAAGCTAAAAATAACCACGGAACTGGAGGTAGACCAAATTAACTGTCACCATAGTTTACTGGCCCCAGACAGTTAGGTAATTGTTACTGGTTGGAATCATCCGAATAAGCTAGCCATTCGGGTCATGTAATCTTCTTGAAGTTAGCAAATAACGCAAAATAAAATACGTTACTTTCGACGCAGAATGCTATTTTTATCGAACCCTTTTTTTCACACATCGATGCACCCGACTTTCGCACGTGCAAAACGATCAGAAAAGATATGTTGAAACTTTCAAATAAATACAATTAAAGAAAACTATGGACTACTTGGTGCCAACTGAAATACAAAACGAAAAGGTGAAATAAAATCCAATGGGGCGAAAATATCCATGAGACAGTATTAATGTCTAGTTAACGTTCAAAACGACTGGATCTGTTGTCGGACCTGTTATGCGCACATAACATGCGTGCATGCTACCTCACTTTCGAGCCAGCCAGGCACGTTTTTATCGATTATCCTAGGCCTTCGTTGTCTTGTCCCTTTTATGTTCTTTGGTTGGTGAGACGGCTTTAGTGTCGATTTATGCCCCGTTTATGCAACACGTGATAGAAAACTGTTGTGACTTGAGAGATAGCTAGTTGGTTAAAGGGTTCGTCTGGCTCTCCATCTGCCGAAATGACAGTAGGCCTCAGGCTGACATCATCCTCAATTCCATTAAGCCCAACGCGGTTATTTTGTTTTTTGTTTATGGTAGTGATACCTCAGCCGGATAAGTAGGGTCGTCAGAAAGGCATTTTAAGTGTATTCCTCCTATGTGAGTTGCTTAATCTTCAAAGTGCTTTCGCCTATATGAGTTGCTCATCGGACGTTAACAGTGCGAACAGTCTCAGTGGTTTATTTCGGATCAAGAGTTAGAGCAGAGTTTTTTGTATAACCAAGTCTGAAGTTTGCTTCCGATAATTCTGTTTAGTTAAAACTCTCATGCATGCAGGAGATAGTAAACTGCTGAGGTTGAAGTAAGAAGGTAAGTAACTTGCATCATCCGAGGCTAAACTATAACCTGGGCCGTGGATACTCCCGTGGATTTAAACCGTCGGGAAACTTTGTCAGGGAACAATATTGAGGCTGACCGGTGGCTCATCTGTGTTAATTTATGAGGACAAAAACGGTCCAGAGGGTTCAGGGCCAGCTAGAGCAGAACCTGGCAGACAGCCAGTTAATCTGCAAGGGTAGCCAACATTTATGTTTATCTAAGCAGCTTGTGCCGATTGACCACCCAGGAAGTCAGTAGGTAGTAACACTTTTTCCTGAATCTGTTAGCCACCAACCGGCAATATGGTGACAAAAGAACAAATTTGATTTATGCCTAGGCCAGCTACGTAGGACGCCTGTGAAAAATTCTGATTTATTTTTCTGCCTTAATAATACACAGTAGAACCGCCCGTTTAAAAGGTCAGCTAGGTAATTATCCGCTTTCTTTCTTGGATCATCAGCCCAGAAGTCGTAAATAAACCTTTCCAAACCCAAAGAAAATCATATAGATGTGTTTATGTCTTACTCGCTAGGGAGGCTTAATTCGGTTGACGCAATTGGGAAAAATTCGCAGCCTCTGTGGAATTCGAACCCACAAAGCAGGCAAGGCTTTTGCGCAGCCAACGCTCAACCATTGAGCTACGAGGCTCACCGTTCGCCGTGAATTTAATCACACTTGGATCGATTTTGTCAACCCAATTTACCGCTCGTGGGGAATCCACCATTACGAAACAGCAAGCTAACTTCCTAGGCAGGATTTCCTAAACAATCATCTAGAATCCACCAGAATTACTACTAGGCTCACTTACTTGCTATGGGGTTTGGTAGATTTGCTTAACTCAGTTGAACCAATTGAGAACAATTCGCGGCCTCGGTGGGAGTCGACCTCACACAGCAAGGAAGGCTTTTGCGCAGCCAACGTTCTACCATTAGATTATGTGGCTCACCGTGAGCCGTGAATTTAATCACACTTTGATAAATTTTACCGGCCCAACTTACTGCTCGTATGCAGTCACAACTGTCAAACCCCTAATAATTATGGTTAGCTTAGTAGTCTATCAGGTGGATCCTAGATGATTTCTTAGGTACTCCTGCCTGGCAGTCAGCCTACTTTATCCGTACTGATGGATTCCATACGAGCAGTAAGTTGGGCAAGCAACTCGACCCAAATGTGATTAAATTTACAGCTCATTGTGAGCCTCGCAGCTCAATTGTAGAGCGTTGGCTGCATAAAAGCCTTCTTTGCTGTGTGGGTTCTACATCCACCGAGGTCGCGAATTCAAAGTTTTTTTGGCAACAAGTAGAATAATACAGTTGAGAGCTTCGATGCTTGGCAGATGCGACTTCGAGCTTTTTATCCGAAATATCTACGGTTCGACTGCATCATAACAGCCGATCTGACTACAAAATCCTTGTCATCTCAGTCAGGAAGAGGAGACTATCGATCCCTTCGTCAGAACTAGTTAATGTATCCGTGATAGGTTGGCACTAGAACAACTTCGCAAACTCGACGCGTCAGTTTTTTAAACCCTTAATGCATTGCATATTTTCCTCTTATGTAGATGGTCTAATATTTCAGCTTCTTAATTTCCTGAGAAGTTAATTTCTGTTCGCGGTATACATCAGTATATTTAAGGTATATAGACATAGGCCGAAATTTTAAGTGTATATTTGGGTGATGATGATGAGCCGGACCCCTCGCAGCGGCAAAACACGTGTCTGGGCCTTTTAATTAGCATGGTAAGTTGCAACATCAATATATACTACTAAAGTCTGTCTGTCGGCAGCAAGTGCATAGTTCACTGTGGTTGACAGGTTTCAACCCAAATATGCACTTACAATTTCGGTCTATGCCTATGAACCTTAAATATACTGATGTATACCGCGAACAGAAATTAATTTCTCAGGAAATTAAAAAGCTGAACTTTCGAAACCGGTATATCAACCAGAAAGCAAACAGGGAAAGCTGGGGGACCCACTGATGAGCCGGATCCCTCGCAGCTGCGTTAAGCAGCGGTAGAATACCGGCAAAACACGTGTCTGGATCTTTTAGCTAGTACCTAGGCTGTTAGTGTGGTAAGTTACAAGGTCTAATGTCTTTCAGTTGATCCCAAAACTTTAATTAAAGCCTCATACTATTACAGCAACGAGTATATGTCCTAATAAAGTGTACGACTCAAATGCGAATAAGAACCCGCTGCTGCATATATTTATGCCAGTTTTAAGGAATCGTAGATTAGTAGATGAGGAAACGACCGATCCCGCTTTTATCGTGGTAATGCGCTTTCCGGAAACTTACTTGTTCCTAAACTAATCATCTGCAATAATTAAATTCTTAACCTCTGTAACAGGCGTTCAGTTAAGGCCGCAATAACTCAAGAGATATTTGTGCATTTCTAGTACTGTCAGCTCATTCAAGTTAAAGACGGCTTCGCTTTCTGTGGCGACTGGAAAATAGTCTTGAATAATTTTAAGTTTGTAGGATTAATGAAGGATTGTTATGGCTATAGCGTATGCGAAAAAAACACAGTGGTAGGGAAGTTGTCACCCCCAGCTAATTTTCAAATTAGTTTCATTTAACTTAGCTGAAATCGAGCATTATGTGAGCTGTCTGAGACTCAGCATAGCACCTACCTATGAGCAGAAAGCACGCTTAGAAAGAACAGTAATCTGCATTAAAAATATTAAGCCTCGCACATATAGGTGTTGCTTGTGATATATAATTTCGTGCAGTTTGCTTTTTGCTCAAAAGCCACTTTGCTCTATCAAAATATTTCTACCTGCTGAAAATATTTTGGTAGTGCGAACTTGTGTAGCAACAAAATGCATGGTGGACGTGCCGCTTCATAACTGCAGGATTTAGCTTTCGCGACTTAACTTTATGAAAGAACTAAATCGGAAATTATACATATCAGATATTAATTTATAAACCAAGTGGAAACCTTCATGTTCTTGACTGGTTCCCCACATGCAGTTCCTCACCCAAATTCTAACAATAGTTCCACCTTCCTGCTGATTCACTACAAAAATATCCGATGTAAGTTGCTGTGCAAGCTTTCTTCCCACTTAAGTTCGCTATAGATAAAATCACTAAGTTATTGTATATATCAAGCTCTGCTAAATGCAAAACTGTCACACCCATTTAAGCATGTGGACGATTTTCTAAAAATTTGTATTTCGACGGCAGTTTATTCCTTCCTATGTTAATTAGCCTTTATTATGTAATTTTAAATCGACACATAAATACAACTTGATTTTATCTGCCACAAGAATGTGTGGTTTAACAAATGTATTCATGTAATTTTAAATGGCGTATTCCCGCATTATCGAAATATTTTTAGCTGAGTTTTCTTTATTTCCGACCTTTATTAAGAGCTTTGTTTTATAATTGAATGATAAGAAGTACATAAGGGAACACATCTTTTCTTTTGGATCAAAGAGAGCCTAGAATTTTCTTTTTTAGAGTCATTATATATTTTTAAGTGCCGTTGTCATGCAACGAAAACTTTAAAACGATAGCCTACTCACATTTCAAGCCAGTTTCTCTTATATCCACAAAACATGGTCATATATTGCGACTGCGTAAATTGGCTATATAGTTACCTGTAGTTGAAGATAACCCTTACCAAAACATGAGAACGCAAGAACTTCAGTTGACCCAGTTGTGAAAAATCCACGGCCTCGGTGGGAGTCGAGCCCACACAGTATGGAAGGCTTTTGCGCAGCCAACGCTCTACCATTGAACTATGAGGCTCACCATGCGCCGTGAATTTAATCACCCCTGGATCGATTATACCCGCCCAATTTACCGCTCGTGTGGAATCCACCATTACGGAACAGCAAGCTGACTGCCTAGGCAGAATTTGCTAAGCGATCATCTAGAATCCACCAGAACGACTACTAGACTCATTTAATTCTCTACCAAATAAATAACAGAACGACCCTCGGGGCACTGGCGGATTAATGAGTAGTCTTATAATCTGCTTATTAACAAAGAGCAAGTTTCTCTTGTCTTTCTTCGGTTCAATGTAGGGCCCTTCATTCAATGTCTTATGCGGCCCAGAAACTGCATTATAAATCATGCGGATACAAGCACATCTCTCCCCTCAGTGAAATGCTAAATAAATAGATTCTTCCTAATGGAGCCCGACTTTAGCATTAAATGAAATAGATGTAGATTCTGCTGTACTTGCATCTTCAGTATATTTCCCATATTTATTGAAGCCCTTCTAGTGAAAATTGGGCTACTGATTAAAATCTGGTAGGCGTAAACCTTTGTGCTGCGGCTTACGCTTGTGGCCATTATGAAACTTATGCATATACGTATTCCAATAAATGTAGGGACTATTGAACGTTTGAGTAAATTCTTTGATTCCTAAGCTTCGCTAATTTTCAACGTGAGAAATGTTCTGCCATAAGAAAAAAGAGACGGGCTTGCGCAATACTCTTAGGGTACTTGACATTGCGTAGGCCATGGATCTGTAACTGTTAGCTGGAAAACTTACTCCTGTTCACGCAGTGATGACAAATCGGAAAATGCCACGTTGAGTGAGACGCACTCAAGCCCAATGTATCGTGCCACTTCAGAAAAATCAATTAGTCATTTTGCTCTTATTGAGTTTGATCATGGCTTTCGCATAAATAGCACTGTCTAACATACGAAAAATTAACTCTCCGTTGGGATGCTTAATTTGCAGAAAAAGACTCAGGGGCTTGTCCTAGCCTATTAAAATAAGTTCTCTTATGTTGGCAACGCTGTTGTCTATAGTGGAGAACGAGGTGCTGAACGCTATGTTTAAAGAAACAAGCGTTCAAAAAAGTATGATTATAGGTATTAGAACTGGATTAAGAGGTACATTTATAAATTTTATATTTCCCCCACGCGAACCAACCTGCACCTTTCCTCGCCCATTTGGGAAGCCGTTTCCAACGACCCTCAAATTTAACTTCTCCCGTTCGGATTTCCAAAAGCAAAGTTCGCCGGTTGTGCAGAACATGAGGCGACGCGCCGTTTTGTTTTTGGATTTCTTGTTTAGGGTGGTTTTAATGGCAAAACAAAGGACACCGCGACGGCTTCTTGTGGCTTATTTAGCGGCCTTAGTTAGAACGACTGCTTATTAACTGGACAATAAGTCAAACACTGTAACATGGAAAAAAAATTTTCGTGCCCTGTCGACTGCGATCAAGAGATCTTCCAGGATCAGGATTGTGGTATGCCTGCTCAAAGAAGGCAGAGAGCATAAGCCGTGCCAACTCTCTTTTATCAACTGTGCTCTACAGTTCCACAATAACTAGGAAAATGGTCTTGCTAAGCGAGTTTTGAAATAGGCTCTACAGCTGCTTTTCAGAGTGGTGAGAAATATGGAAATTATTATAGAGGGTAATTGCTTTTAAGTTGGCTCTAGTTGTTAAGAAATGGGGCAGTTATTTTACCGAAATCTTGTACTAGACTCTAAAAGTCTCCCGCAGTTATATCAACAGGAAAATATAAAAGAGATTAATAATACTTCGATAACTTAAAAAGCATAGTCTTTTAAAAGTCGCAGTCTAAAATTAATTCAATGTCCCATTGAAGTGCCATTTGGCGAAAACTATTGAAAAACTTACAGTGAATTGTAAATCAGATCATCAGAAACTCACGCATACTTTTTCTAATTCTTATTTTATATCTTAATTAAAAATGTTTACTAAAATCAGAAAACATCTTTGTTTAGGATGATACGTTTTTCACTGAAAGAAAAATTAAAAGAAATGAAGCAGTGTCATTGCATTAAATTTCTGCAACTTCATGTTGGGAAAAATATTTGTTCCTTCAGTTTTAACATCCGGAATAGTTGCAATCACTTTTTACCATCGTTTTCGCTATTTTAGTATTCGGTTAATTACCTAACTTTCAGATCAGTGAAACCTACTGTCAACTGACTTTCAAATTTCCGGAAGTTAATAAAAAGAAACAGTATGCGGCTATTAACATTTTAATAATTCCTACATAGGGACTTGTTACCTACCTGTGAGAAGCTCGGCCAAAATACATCCGAAACTCCAAATATCGATGGAAACGCCATATTTGCATCCCAAAATTACTTCCGGTGCTCGATAGAAGCGAGACTGAATGTATGTATAGATCCTTTGATTTTCAAAGCAGCTGGAACCGAAATCAATAACTTTAATGCCGCTTCGACCTTGTTGTTTAAGCAGAATATTTTCTGGTTTCAGGTCGCAGTGAATAATCTTGTTGCGGTGAAGCATGTCAAGACAAACGAGGATGGAGTGAGCAAATTTTCGAACTAATTGTAGTGGAAAGCCTTGAAATTTATTTCTTTTGATAAGTTCATAGAGGTTCATGTTTAGTAGTTCAAATGTCATGCAGACGTGGTCCCGGAAAACAAAATGTTCCAGCAAATGCACAACATTTCTTGTGTTATCGACATCTTGAGCTCGAAGAAGCTCGAGAATTCTTATTTCCTCAGCTGCTTGCTTTGTAAATCTTCGTTCATTCCTAACCATTTTCAAGCCTACAAACGTGTTTGTCTTATGGTCGAATGCCTTGACAACCTGGCCAAAACTGCCCTTCCCCAAACTTTTTAGAACCTCGTATCTATACGATACTTGGTCATGAGCAGTGTGAAGATAGGATCCCTGTTCATCGTCATATCCACAGTTGTTGGCTGCACCGGGAATTCCTTGTCGTTTTTTAGCATTATGTCCAACAAAGTAGATATTTGGGTAATTTAGGATCTCCGTCAGTTCGTACGCTGACAGTTTCGTTTTGAACTGTTTTATTGCAACCTCTGGGGTGATGCCGACTGTCGGTAAGTTGACAGCGGCACCTCCATTCCAGGCTGACTGACTTAAAACCGTGCCGCTTGCAGGTGATCCGTAAGCAGGAGATTGTTGACAGTTTTGACTATAATGAAGGCCTCCACCTCCTTCGGCTGTCGTTCGAGTTCTTGCCTTCGCTGTGCAGCTGCTCTCATCTGCTTTTCCTACGCCTCCATTTTCGGGTGGCGAAGGACCGCTGGGTTTGGAGCATCCTTTAGCACATACAGCAGCTGACTTTTGGTTACCTAATGGCACATTTGGGAGGTGAATTTCCTGCTGGGTGCCTGAATAGCCGGTGCTGTTTATTGATCCTGCAGAGGTCTGCTTTAGAAGGCGTTCCTCATACAAATGGTTTATGCCACTGAAAGCTTTGGTATTGAACGTTGTATTTGAACATGGTGTGCCAACGCCGTTGATTGCCAAGGATCCCATATCGCTAACACCCTTTAATTCATTAGATGAATATACAGTAAAACTCCCAGTATTGTGTACCGATTTTGACTTAGAAGCAGTAAGTAATGGTGGAAGTTGCGGAAATATGAGTGTTGGGTTCGAACTGGACATAGATGCTGAAAGAACTTATCGTCCGATATAGAACGTCCGGACGTTGAGGTCCTTACAAATTCCGTCCCATTTTATAATCCAGTTAACTGAAATTCAAGAAGACATTTCTGATTAAGAAAGCAAAAGTGAAGGAATCGCAAATTTATTAGGTGTATTTACTTGAGCAATCTGTCCAAGTACGATGAATATAGGGGATGAATTTGGCTGAAAGGGCTGACGTTTGTATTTCTTCCTAGTACCAATAGGCGTTGATGTAATTATTCAAGGCCATTTTTGTTAAAGATTTGCAGGAATTTTCTAAAACTTTCTCAACCTGGTTTTCGTTAACTGAATTTTTTTAAAGCCGAGTTAGCTGCACTCATAGAGAAGAGAGGAGACAGAAGGAAATGAAGCGAATGGGGGACATAAATTTTGTTTTCGTAGGAATAATGCCACAAGCTAGTTATTTAAAATAACTGCGGCTCATATTTTTATCGGAAAGACAATATTGCACCATGTGACACGTACGTACGAGACGGAAGTTACCTTCAAACCCTTCTTGGACTCATTTTAAGTTGTTAATAAAGCATTATAAATATAAGACGGTGTTACATCACGAAGTTGGCACATTTTAAAATCATGACGAGAAAAATAAGAATAACAAACCGCACCTCGATATGTATAGGTCTTGACATTTGGATTTATATGTTCTGATTGAGCGCTCTGAAAGCTAAATACTGCAACATTTCAACTTTTTCGACAAGCGTTGTCTGCAACGGTGAACAAAAAACGGTATTTATAAATACCGATTTTCATATCCCTATGTTCAACAACTAAAAAGAACTACAGCCTTGATTAATCTTGTGCATATAGTTTTAAAATTATTGAGTTCAAGGCTACTTGGTACTTTACAATAATTCGTGTACTTTTATAATTTACGTATTGAGGTACTGCAATCGTAGACATCTTGGTGTTCTGCGACAATAATTGTTCAAAATAATATTATTCTGTATGCTTATCATATGATTAGTGTGAATATTTTACATAAAACATTCGAACAAACGTATGATTTAGATTCATAAATAATTTCAATGGTAGAGTCTATCCCCGCTGCCCATATCTGCTAAGGGGGGCAGATGTTAACAGGGATGTAATTCATTATCGCGATAACACTTATTCTTATAGTAAAGAAAATGGCATATTATTATATTTAAAAAAATAATATGATCATGATCATAAATATGCATACTAGTCGACTAGTATTAGTATAACTTCAAAGTTAATTAATATAACTGCTAACAGTACAATTTAGTCCGATGCACTTTATTATTTCGAACAGTTCCCAGCATTCAGGTCAACTTATTAGTCATTCCATAAGGGGATGACTAAAATATTGTGTTTGGTTGTGGATTATATTTTATTTTATTCAGGCGCACCTAGAATCTTTACAAATATATATTTATACATAAACTATGCATTTTAATTTTATCAGGGGTATGCCTGATACATTTTGTAAGTAAACGCAGTTCTCTTGTTAGTAATTTACGGACACAGCACATCCTGAATAATTTAGAATGGCTGTGCAAAGTATTGTTTGCGTGTATGAGACTATTTCCATCCAAATAATTTACTAATAAGCTTCTAGAATATACTCCGATGTTAAGATTTAAGATGCGTTACAAACTTATTTGGAAAATTTTCGAAAATGCTAACTCACGTCAGTTTCCATGACCCAAATTGTGCGCATTATTAAAAGGTGCACATTTTGTACTAGCAACGCCGCGGGGCAAATGACTATACAAAACAACATTTCACTGACCAAATTAAGAAATATAAAGTTTTGATTAAAAAGCATTTAAGACTCTTACATATCAATTATTCGCTGTTTTTACTGGATATGTATACCTCCGTGGTTAGCCACATAGTGAGCAATTGCTTCCATTTTAAAATCCCAACCGCTTCCAACCTTTTTATGACTTGCGGATTTAAGCAGCGGGAACTTAAGTCGTTTTATTTATACGATGAGGCTTTCACCTTTAAGCTTCATGTTTATGTTGGAAAAGTAGAGGAGTTAATCGTTACGACAGAAACTGTTGAAGCCTTATAATTATCAGTACATGGGCCACAAGTGTCACGTTTCAAACGTGCTCGAGGGCGCCACTTCAGCAGGAGTTCGTTCCTTATTCCACCAACCCTGTGCAAGAGGGCCTTTCTCTAACGCTTTAACGCGCAGCTTCGTCTGCAACTTAAAGGGGTGACCACAATGACTGTCAGTGCCGGTTCGTTTGGTGAAAGTAGCAGGCTCTCAAGACCAAACACAGTCCATTAGATCCGTGTGGGGTCATTGCGCAGTTGCCTGTAGCTTAGTGTTAAAAAAATAGCGTTCGCGTAACTTGGCTTTCTATTATAGTTAACGAATAGGTCTTACCACCTTCTTGGTCATCGCTTGAACTTATTTTCTCCGTGAACTGCCCTTCTTCATGCGAGGTCTATGCTGCATACGTAAGTTAGATTGAGAAGAAAGAGCGATCTCGGGAACCATAATTGTAATACCCTGACGTTTCAAAAACATACAAATTTCCGTCGTCGGAGGTGAGTGTCGTACCGCGCCTCACAGTACTTATAGGTG